GTATCTTTTCTGATAGTAAAGTGAATCTAGTTGGTACTTTGGGGGGTCAAAAGTAAAATTTTCCATTAGTTTTCAAAAGCGCCGTGAAAAACAAAAGAAAAATTAAGGAAAATCGGGAAGTTTTACGCTAAATCGATTTTGGTTTTTGTTGTTACTCTAAAACAAATGAACATATATACATGAAAATTTCTCTGGTTGTTTATATTTCCATTTTCTATACATGATAAAATTTTCCAACTATTTTGAGTTCTTTACGGACATTTTCAGTTTCCATTTTTTAAAATTTTTTTTTCTATAAATATCAATACAATTTTATTTGTTGGGTAAAAAAGCGTGAAAATTTAATGCAAATCTCCTGATATATTGTTACAATAGCACTTGAAAAATATTAAAAATCAATTTTTTTTATAAGCATTTAAAGTTCACATTTTGACAAAATTTATCACATTTAAAATTTAATAATAATTTTGTAGTTAAAAATGTATAAAATGTTCAATTTTTATAGCTAATGATTGAAAATTTAAAACAAGATTCTACGTAAATTGGTTATATATAAATTACTTTATTCACCTACCATCATCAAATATACTTCGTAATATCATAGGCTGACTAACCGTTTTCGCTAAGAATCGTTTTTCTTATACAATGATATTGTATCATTGAATTCAAATTTAATACCATCCATTATACAGTGACCCACTTGTAACCTACTGTACAGCAGAGAACCTTTTTTTTTTTAACAGCGCTTTTGATATCTACTGGGAATTTTAAATTTTAAATTTTTTTGACTTCCCTGAAGCACCTACTAGATTCACTTTCCCACCACCTCAAAATCTAAATTCGCGGAAATTAAATTGTAAATATATTTCTATTGTTATCTAAGAATTAAGATAACAAATTTTTGATTATAAACACTCGCTATTTAAAGCTAATATAAAAATTTGGTAGGTATAGAGTTCCATAACAATACCTGTTTAATAACTTGTGTTATTCGCTATTACTATAATTTTTCGGAGTTTGGAATTTATCTTTTTTCGATCAATTTTGTGCATGAGAGCAGATTTTTGGCGTGTGATATTTAATTTGAAAGCAATAGTAAATATCGTCGAATATTTAAATATCATATATGAGCGGAGCTCAATTAAAACAGCTAGTTTCTAGTTTCTTATATTTTTACGTTTTTTGATGGTTTTTCCTTATGTTTAGAGAAACTAGTGATAAAATATAAAAATTACCTGTACAAACTTGGTACAAATGAAATACATAAATTCCGATTTATAAAGGTATTACATGAAACTTTTTTACCACTAATTTTTCGCACATGGTATTATACCAATAATATTTTTAAATGTAAAGACGTTTTTATTACAAATATATGGTAGGTAGTTTAAATTAAAGTCATATAGAATTCATTATCTATAAAATGTTTTGTTTACGTTAAACCTATTTGGAATATCTTATAATATAAAAACATAAATAATTAGGTATGCAATTCATAATAACGAATAATGGTTAATTGTCCAACAACTTAAATATCATTGAATATTCTTGTAAAATAAATAATGATTAATGACTAATCGTAAAATATATAACTTTATTTTTTGCTTAAACACATTCATTTGTGGGTATCTCCAGTGACTCCGAAGACACGAGTCAAGGCCATTCAAGGTATCTTCAGTGGTCAGCTCCCATTTCGCCGCCATTTCATTTCGCCGCGGTACCGTTTCGCCGAATTTATTTTTTCGCAGTTCCATTTCGCCGAATTTATTTTTTAAGTAACTCTTTAACTCTCAACTTAAGGTTACTCAACAATTATTCATTATTTTATTTGTAGTTAATAAGTAATAATAATATTTTCAAATGAATCATTAATTCATCAATTGATAATACTCATAATAATATTATTGTATTGTATTGTATTGGGTTACACAATCTCCTTTTTGTCTTAAAAATGAAGTTCGAACTTCTTTATAAATCTATTAAAATAAATAAGTAAATTTATACTTAGCGCAGGTATCTACTACAGATATCTATATAATATATATATATATTATATACTAATATATTAAACTATAAGTGTGGATTGTGGTCGTAGTATATTATTAAACATCTTTAATATTTAAATAATTTAATCTTAAAAATCCTAACTTTTCTTTTAATTATTACGTATACAATGCAGTAGGTATAATTATTATTTTAAATTATTATTATTCTTTATTTAGAATAAATAAATAAATAAGAGTGGTCAATAAGTAACTCTTAGCTAAAAAAATAAATAAAAAATAATAAACAAAAACGAATATTTCAAATGCCTATAAACAGCATTAAAATAAGTGAAATATTTCGAAAATTTTTTATTAAAATTTTTATAATAATTACCTTCGGAATTGGTTCAAGAGGGTTTTCTTTTGCTCTCAAACGAAGTTTGGCCTTAAAACGTTTTTCTTCAATTTTGACTGGACGAGGACTGTGGTTATGATTACAAAACTTATCGGAATGTACAGTGAATTCATCTGAAATTATTACACGAGCTCCACAGTTTTCAATACTTTTCCAATATTTTTTATTTTTTATTTTTTTATAAATTCTAAAATAATAGTTATTAAAAATAAGGCACTCCCCTTTTCGCTGTGTAGAAATATATTCAATATTCGACATTATTATTTAAAAATTGTGAACTGTAAATGCGCAAATACGTACTGGTGATAATCATAATATGACACTGACTGTGGTAACTTTGCAATTATCGCTGCGACGACACACTATTCATTCTATTTTATTTATATAATTATTGGGGATTTATCAATCGATAACTTCAGAATTGAGATAGTATAGCACTAAGATCGTTTCAAACGATAAATATATCTGATAAATATTTCTCTGTGTCTATTTATCACTTTTCAAATCACAAATTCATAACCATGTTCTAAGACAAAAATAATTTTATGCGGCGAAATGGGTCGGCGGCAAAATGGGATTAATTTGGCGGCGAAATGGTACCGCGGCGAAATGAAATGGCGGCGAAATGGGATACGACCTCTTCAGTCCCAAAACCTAACCTAACTTGAACTTTACTTGTTCTAATGTTATATAGATATAAATGTGAACTACATTCAATATAATGTATAATATTATATTAACTTTTAACTAAGCATACATAATTAAAATAAAAAATGAGGGTAAGTGGATGTCGCTCTGCTGTAATGGATTGTATTAAATTTGAATTCAATGATATAATATCATTGTATACGAAAAACGATTCTGAGTGGAGACAGTCTGTCAGTCTGGATATTTTATATTGTTATTATATTTTATTATAGCCTGTAAGTTGAATTAATATTATAATTTACAATAAAATAACTAAAATAATTATTTTTATTCGTGTCTATGGTTTCTATAGTATTTGTTTATACACAACGTTAGAAATTAAAATCTCATTTTTAGCCGTTTTTTGTAATTTGTCGGTGGTTTTTCCCATGTGTCATTATAAGGGTCCGGGTGCCGGTTTTTCAACTTTTCCACAATTCTATAAAATTTGAAAATTAAATTTTATATTTTAGTTGCCACATCAATTATAAGACTTATCCACTAATCTACTACCCGATACCTATTTAGGAGGGGTTGATAGGGTGTATTATATCGAAAAAAATAACTTTACGGGAATAACTCTCAAGCTTGGTAGAATTGTCGGATTTTGATGACTATTTTTTTTATCTGAAAAAAGAAAACTTCCTATTGCCCGCATCAATCCCTGATTTTGTATTTTATTTCAAATAATTGTATAAAAAAAAAATTGTAAAAAAAATGTTTTTTATCCTGTATTTTTTTAGACATATTATAAAGTTTGAGAATAAAATATTGAAAAACAGAGATCGATGCGGGTTATAGAATATTTCCCTCTAACAATTAAAAAAAAAATTATGAAAATTGGTTGATTATACAAGGTGGTATCGTTATTCCCGCAAAGTGTATTTTTGAGGACAAAATGGCATCGGGACCGGGCGCCTTAAATACATTTTGAGAAAATCGAAAAATTACCTCTCCAAAGTACCATCGTCCATCTTGACCCAATTTGCTAAAAGATAAGATACTAAATGTTGAAATCTAAGAACTCCTTTTGGTAGAAATTTCGTATACAGGATTAAAAAAAATAAAAAATAATTTTATTGTCGTGAGTATGTTGGTAAAGGATCCACCGTTCTACAGCTTCACTGAGAGTGAAGCTCTTGCAGCCTGTCCATTGGTACGTGTTGTCTTGTCTGTTGCGTGTAGTTGGGTCTGGTTTTTGTATGTAAACTGTTGTCATCTAGCTGCTGTTGTACACGGATGCCACATATTGTGCTTTCGATATTTAAATTGTATCCAAGTTTTTCTAACGTATTTTATACAAATGACCTAGCTTTGTATTCCCATCACATCCTTATGCTAAAATTATATTTTATGTACATGTAATTTTTTTGATTTTCTCATTAGTTTAAAAAACAGTTGAAAACCCGAATATTTACACTTTTCTGGTCATTGTGAACAAATCAATAAAATTAACTACTTTGAATTGCTCATTATGGAGACTACCCCTAATTTATTCTAAAGCTTAATCGAATATTATACTAAAGACAACCCAATTTTTTTTCTTTTGTTAATTTGATATTTGATATATTTTAAATAGTCTACCGTATAAAAAAATGAAATGATCACCATAATTCAGACTACAAAGCGATTTCGCCTGCAATAAATCGTCATCTCACACATGTATATAAATACAAAATGGATTAATGGGGGCCGGGGTGTAGGTATGCTGTATGAAGTTTTCAAGGAAACTTGCAGAGACATGTATACCCTGCTGCAGGCTGTAATATTACTTACCTATTTTGGTTTACATATTGGTACCTACTATTGTACTAACCTAAATTGTGTACCTATAGTATCCACTACAGTCATATAAGCTGTAACAAAATAAAAATTATTATTTTTTTTTTTTTTTAGGGCGTCGAACTACCACGATGCCGTCTATGCAAATGTTTGGACGTAGATGGCTTGCTGGTACAGATGACTTGGTGTTCCCGGGATTATTGGAACTTTTAATGCGGGGAATATGGTGAGTTATTATATCTACGTTTTTATCTGAATAGAAAATAACTGTTTATTATAAAAAACTTTTTATCAATTTTTAAGTTTAATATTTTAATACTATGAATCATTAAAAAAAAATATTTTGGAGCTTTTGTAATAAAATATAAATACAAAATGTAACATAATTTTGGGGTAGTTAACTAAAAAAAGGATAGATTTTTAAAATAATTGTTACTTAATTCTGTCCTATCTAATAGGTATATAAGATCTTAAGATTAAAATGAATATTGATCTGGTGAGAAAACTCCAATTAAAAATGGTATCATTATTTGAACTATTACAACTCACCCAATCATTAGTGACGTCGCTTCGCTTCGATAATTATTGTCGGGATCAGAAACTAAGCGAATAACCAAATACCTATACAGTTTGACAAATTCTAAACATACAGCATTATTTGAACTTAAAAAAACCGTCAGTCACTCGTGTGGAAATGCGTTCCCTCGGAACCTTCTATACTTTATATGGAATAAATACGAAATATATGATTTATGAGTTATTATAAAATATTTAAGTAGTACCTATGTGGCGCTGAAGTCATTAAAAACTACCATACTACTATTTTAATATGACATAATATATATGACAATCGAAATAAATATATATGAATCGGCCTATAATGATATGAGTTTTTCAACGATCATATAAAAATTGAATTTTTACGCAAGCATAGCCACAAATGACTCTTATTTCAACATTATAATTTATAAGTAATAAGTACTATTAAACAATTTTCTACTCACATAATCAGCTAAAAAGTGGGTAAGTGGATATCTCTCTGCTGTTCAGTAGGTTACAATGGGTCACTGTAATAGTGTAATGGATGGTATTATATTTTAATTCAATGATATAATATTATTGTATACGAAAAATGATTTTGAGCTGAGATGGTTTGCAAGTCAAGGATTTTATGTATTATATTTATATTGTTATTAATTATTATTAATACGGTAGCTCGCAAGTTGAATTAAAATTATACAGTTACGAAAAAATAAATAAATTCGCTATTCTTGGTTATTTAATATATAAATGTATTCAAATTTTAACTTAAAATACTTATAAAAAAAAACTGTGTTTATGTATATTCCTTAGATTTTTTGGTTACATAATTAACTAATTACGTGCAACCTTGTATTACATTTTCAATCCCTAGCTATAAAAGTTGAACATTTTATCATTTTTTTAACAACAAAATAATTTGTACATTTTAAATTTGATAAATTATGTCAACATTTGAACTTAAAAAGTTTTTTAAAAAAAATGGGTTGTTCTTGTAACAATATATTTCATGCTTTTTGACCCAACGAATAATATTTTATTTACGTTTATAGAAAAAAAACTAAATACATATTTTATAGTGTATTATGTCCGTAAACAGCTTAAAAGAGTAAAAATATTTTGAAAATGTTATCAAGTGTAGGAATAATGTGTAGCCGTGTAGGATAATAAATTAAACATATTTTATAATTTCAAGTGTCTACGGTTATTCGTTTTTGAAATACAAAAGAAATAAGAAATTTGCTACATGAAAAATCGAGTGGATTTCCAATGTTGTAAAAATTTGAACTTCAAACGCTCATAAAAATTTAATTTGACTTCCCGGTAGACATTTTTATTTATAAAGGTAGATTTACTTTCGAGTTATGAGGTATCTTATAGTACATTTTCAAATCTTAAATAAAAAAAAAAAATTTTATGAATTTATAACTCAAAATAATGCTTTGATTTTCGACTTCAGTATCTTGTTCGATTGGAAAGTGAATATCGTTGGTGCATTGGGGAGGTCAAAATTTAAATTTCCCAGTAGTTTTCACAAGCGCCGGGAAAAACAACATAAAAATTAAGGAAAAACGGGAATTTTTACGCAAAATTGATTTTCCAAAAAATCGATTTTGGTTATTGGTGTAACTCTAAAACAAATGAACGTATATACATGAAATTTTCACTGGTTGTTTATATTTGCATTTTCTATACACGATAACATTTTCAAAATATTTTGATTTATTTTGAACTGTTTAGGGACATTTTCATTTTTCGTTTTTTTTAGTTTTTTTTCTAGAAATATCAATAAAATTTTATTTGTTGGTTGCGAAAGCTTGAAAATTTAATAGAAGGTTCCTAATATATTGTTTCAAAGGCAGATGAAAAATATTAAAAATCCTTAGTCACAATTTTTTTTTAAAAGCATTTAAAGTTCAAAAATTGACAAAATATGGAAAAATCACGAAAATTAGCAAATTATTTTGAGTTAAGAATTCGTAAAAATTTTTCTTTTTAAATCTAAGATTTGAAAATCTAATACAAGATTACTCATAAGATTGTCTACCTTTATCAATAAAAAAATCTCTACCGGAAAGTCAAATTAAATTTTTATGAGCGTTTGAAATTCAAATTTTTACAACATTGGATATTCACTCGATTTCTCATGTGGCAATTTCCTTTTTTGTTGTAATTAAAAAACGAATTACTGTAGATACATGAAAATTTCACTGAATATTTATATTAGCATTTCCTATACACCATACAATTTTGAAAATATTTTGACTCTTTTTGAGCCGTTTACGGACATTTTCAGTTTTCAATTTTTTTAGTTTTTTTTTTCTATAAATATCAATTAAGTTTTATCTGTTGGGCCAAAAAGTGTAAAAATTTAATACAAGGCTCCTGATATATTGTTACAATATCAGTTGAAAAATATTAAAAATACATAGGCACAATTTTTTTTATAAGCGTTTTAACATCGAATTTTGACAGAATTTTTCAAATCTCGAAAATTATTAATCATCGTAATTAATAAATTATAAAATGTTCAGTTTTTATAGCTAAGGATTGAAAATTTAAAACAAGATTCTACGTAAGTAGTTAATTCTCTTACCGAAAAATCTAAAAAATATACAATCACAGTTATTTTTATAGTCATTTTATGTTCAAATTTTGACGAAATTTTTCATATTAAAAAACATAGTATTTTGTTGTCGATTATATAATACTATTCGTGGGTACCTACTTGAAACTTCTAAGGCTACTATTATATATATATGATAGTATAGGGTTGTTGTTGATGTTGATGTATAACATGTTATAAGTACCTAATGGATTATTGTGATAATTGTTACTGATTAATTTGGAATTTATTATAAGTCAATTTTTTTTTTTAATTACCATAGATATGTATATAATTGGTCTTAAAACCTAGACTGACCTTACCGTCTTCGCTCAGAATAGTTTTTCTTTATACCAATGATATTGTATCATTGAATTCAAATTTAAAAGCATCCATTATACAGTGACCCACTTGTAACCTACTGTACAGCAGAGCGACATCCACTTACCCACCTTTTTTTATTTGTTGTCTCAGCGCTTTTAAAAACTACAGAACATTTTAAATTTTGATCTCCCAAATGCACAAACTGAATTCACTTTCCCATCGAATAATAAATGGAAGTTAAAAATTGAAGCATTACTTCAACTACTTATCGTGTACACAAAAAAAACCACATAATTGTAAAATTAATATATTCATTGCTCCTCTCAGAATCTAAAACGGTAAAATGTCTGATCAAAGGCGTCTTTCCTTTAAGAGGAAATCTCACCCGGATGTGTTGTCTCCGTCTTACACACGTACGACATGGTAAATTTTCGTTTGCTAGTTTCAATAGGGTATTGTAAGTTTTGATATTAGAGTGAATCGACCTATTATCAAACTTTTAGGTAACAACATTATCTGTGTTCTCTCGTTGGTTTTTTACGATGTTTTAATTTTAGAATATGAATACTTTACATACCCATAATATTTGCTATGTCGTATGTGTGTAAGACGGAGACAACACATGCGGGTGAGACGTCTTCTTAAAGAATCAGAACCAGAAAAAAAATCTTCATGACTGTATATAAATGTTATATATGACTGGCTCTTTATTAGGTATTAGTGTATTACTATTATTATTTAAATTATTTCCCAGAGTCAATAGGTTTTATGCGTTTGTCACGTAACGAAATAAATAGTTCATAAATTAGTTTCGTAACAATAGCGCATAAAATCTATATTGAGAAATATTTGAA